CTTAATAACCTTTTCTAAACTAAACTTTTCTAATTGTAATGATTCCAACTACTGACATTTGACATCATATTTAAATTTGAAAGATCTTTGTCTAGTTGTTATCCGTGTCTTCTTGAATTTCTCTATAATATTCGTTTTTATCCTTGTGGCCAGCTAAATATGTTATGTTCGAACAGTTCTAGAAATTGATATTTTTTATTTTTGTTCATTTTTCATATTTGTTCATATTTCTATTAGTATTTAATAACATTTAAAAATATGAGGTTTTATTTTGCCTACCTGTATATTGCTCGTCTAAATTCTGTGCATCAACTAATTCCTGAACCATACATCTTAACACATTTGGGTATAGTGATAAACGAATCATATTTGGTCATACCAGAAGCGTTGAAATATGTTAAAAACTGTTATATTCTTCTTCTTCTGGTTCCTATCTGTTTCGGATGTTGGAAATCATATTGGCAATCATAACCTTGCTCGCTGCGGCTCGAAACTGCTCCGTTGAGGTTTTCTTAAACCATGTTCTTAAATTCCGCATCCATGATATTCTCCTACTACCGGGTCCCCGCTTACCTTTGACTTTACCTTGCAATATAGACTGTAGCAGGGAGTAACGGTGCTGATTTCTCATAACGTGTCCCAGATATTGCAATTTTATGCGTTTGATAGTAAACACAATCTCTGGTTCCTTCTTCATTTTTCCTAGAACTTCCTTGTTCGTGATCCTTGCTGTCCATGATATTCTCAGCATTCTTCTATAAAGCCACATCTCAAATGCTTCAAGTTTTTTAATAGTGGTGTCTGTAAGCGTCCATGCCTCCGCCCCGTACAACAACACAGAGAAAACATAGCATCTCAAATGTCTCATTTTTGTATCAAGGGATATGTTGTGACTTTTGAAGATGGCGCTCATTTTGTTAAAGACCGTTCTTGCCTTTCCTATGCGGCACTTTATTTCCTATACATTGCTCCACTGTTCGTTTATAATAGTTCCCAGGTAGCAATTCTGTTTTACTCGCTCTATCTGCGTCCCATTAATGTATAGATGAGCCCCGTTTATATTCTCCTTGCTGATAATCATTTGTTTCATTTACAAATGAAGTTATATTAAAAAAAAAAGTTAATTCTTTCAGACTGCCTTTCAATTTTACATAACATAAAAAATACTTTTTGTCCAAAATATTTAGTAATTCTTATAAAATTTTAAGAAAGGATCAGTTAAAGCATTAAGGAGACTCTGGCTTTAATATAAAATGTATTTGTGAAAAAGACAGCAAATATTCGATTTCACGCAAACAGCGCCTTTGTATCTGTTGATACGTATTTCGACCTAATAGGTCTCATCAGAACAGTTATTCAAAGGTGTTCTCAACGTGAAAGATCAATATTTCCTGTCTTTTAAGAAGCAACAATAACATGGCTTCGAATACGGACGCACTAGCGACATCTAATTTAATCTGAATCACAATCAATCTGAAATCAAATCTGAAACACAATCTGAATTGTGTTTCGAAACTATTTTACGATCGTTAAATTAGATGTCGCTAGTGCGTCCGTATTCGAAGCCATGTTATTGTTGCTTCTTAAAAGACAGGAAATATTGATCTTTCACGTTGAGAACACCTTTGAATAACTGTTCTGATGAGACCTATTAGGTCGAAATACGTATCAACAGATACAAAGGCGCTGTTTGCGTGAAATCGAATATTTGCTGTCTTTTTCACTTTTTTCGGATTTACTCTGTACGAGTACAAGAAACCAATTCGCTAAGGATTTCTGCTTAGTTGAAAAGATGTGTCGTGGAATGCAAATTTTAGATTCCCCACGTCTCTTTTAACACCTTTATCAACGTCTGTTTTGCTTTGCAATTTTTAGAAAGCACAGATAAAAGCAGAAATCTGAATTGTGTTTCGAAACTATTTTACGATCGTTAAATTAGATGTCGCTAGTGCGTCCGTATTCGAAGCCATGTTATTGTTGCTTCTTAAAAGACAGGAAATATTGATCTTTCACGTTGAGAACACCTTTGAATAACTGTTCTGATGAGACCTATTAGGTCGAAATACGTATCAACAGATACAAAGGCGCTGTTTGCGTGAAATCGAATATTTGCTGTCTTTTTCACTTTTTTCGGATTTACTCTGTACGAGTACAAGAAACCAATTCGCTAAGGATTTCTGCTTAGTTGAAAAGATGTGTCGTGGAATGCAAATTTTAGATTCCCCACGTCTCTTTTAACACCTTTATCAACGTCTGTTTTGCTTTGCAATTTTTAGAAAGCACAGATAAAAGCAGAAATCTGAATTGTGTTTCGAAACTATTTTACGATCGTTAAATTAGATGTCGCTAGTGCGTCCGTATTCGAAGCCATGTTATTGTTGCTTCTTAAAAGACAGGAAATATTGATCTTTCACGTTGAGAACACCTTTGAATAACTGTTCTGATGAGACCTATTAGGTCGAAATACGTATCAACAGATACAAAGGCGCTGTTTGCGTGAAATCAAATATTTGCTGTCTTTTTCACTTTTTTCGGATTTACTCTGTACGAGTACAAGAAACCAATTCGCTAAGGATTTCTGCTTAGTTGAAAAGATGTGTCGTGGAATGCAAATTTTAGATTCCCCACGTCTCTTTTAACACCTTTATCAACGTCTGTTTTGCTTTGCAATTTTTAGAAAGCACAGATAAAAGCAGAAATCTGAATTGTGTTTCGAAACTATTTTACGATCGTTAAATTAGATGTCGCTAGTGCGTCCGTATTCGAAGCCATGTTATTGTTGCTTCTTAAAAGACAGGAAATATTGATCTTTCACGTTGAGAACACCTTTGAATAACTGTTCTGATGAGACCTATTAGGTCGAAATACGTATCAACAGATACAAAGGCGCTGTTTGCGTGAAATCGAATATTTGCTGTCTTTTTCACTTTTTTCGGATTTACTCTGTACGAGTACAAGAAACCAATTCGCTAAGGATTTCTGCTTAGTTGAAAAGATGTGTCGTGGAATGCAAATTTTAGATTCCCCACGTCTCTTTTAACACCTTTATCAACGTCTGTTTTGCTTTGCAATTTTTAGAAAGCACAGATAAAAGCAGAAATCTGAATTGTGTTTCGAAACTATTTTACGATCGTTAAATTAGATGTCGCTAGTGCGTCCGTATTCGAAGCCATGTTATTGTTGCTTCTTAAAAGACAGGAAATATTGATCTTTCACGTTGAGAACACCTTTGAATAACTGTTCTGATGAGACCTATTAGGTCGAAATACGTATCAACAGATACAAAGGCGCTGTTTGCGTGAAATCGAATATTTGCTGTCTTTTTCACTTTTTTCGGATTTACTCTGTACGAGTACAAGAAACCAATTCGCTAAGGATTTCTGCTTAGTTGAAAAGATGTGTCGTGGAATGCAAATTTTAGATTCCCCACGTCTCTTTTAACACCTTTATCAACGTCTGTTTTGCTTTGCAATTTTTAGAAAGCACAGATAAAAGCAGAAATCTGAATTGTGTTTCGAAACTATTTTACGATCGTTAAAATGTATTTGGTTTAAGGCACATATTGGACTCAAAAATAATGAATATGTAAACTACTTAGATAAGACTAGTGTCACATTAGGTACTTTATTGTCATATTCTTTATGTGTAACAGCTATCGACATGGAAAGATCAAATCATATCTTTTTGGAATGTCAATAAGTTTCAACAGCATTCTAACTCACTTTGAGTATTTACCATTCAATATCCAGTCTTTGCTGGCTTGTGACCCCATATATTCCTTATCATATTTTCTTTTATTAATTATCTGTTAATTTTGTTTTACGGGTAGGATTGTGTATTTGTCTGATTGGAGAGAATACATTGCAACTGGTTGAAAATCTATGCCATTAAAATAAATAGAATCATATAGCCAGTAATACTTCATTTGGAACCTTTTGTGTCACTTTGTTCCTAGATTTTTGTCCCATTCTGTACTGTTTTAAAATATCGACCATTCTTCAGCTACTTATGCAAACCGCTTCTTAATAGTTATAGCTTCAATTACTTCAAACAGTGTGATTCTCAAAAACAATCTCTGATATGTAGTGTCACTAAAGGCTTGGTTTTGGGTCCGATATTATTTCTTATTTATATTGATAGCCTAGTATACTATCAAAATGAGGCACTGCTTTATTTGCTGATGACATTACTTTCTATGTAAACTATCACATTTATGAATTTAACATTCTTTTCTCAACAACTCTAAATCACAAAGTTTTAATTTCACTCTAAGAAATAACGCTGAGATTGGACACATTGCTCTACTACAATGTTCAACCAAGGCGACGTTTCTGGTAGTCTCTTGGATGCAATATTAACCTGGGAACAACAGATGAATAATTTATCTAAAAAGCATTCCCAACTACTTTTTCTTTTTAGGAATCTTGCACAAGTGACTTCAGGGAAACTATGTTAACAGCTTGTTATAATAACTTTTATTCTCATCTTATTATGTTTTCTCCTGGGGCCACTCTTGTAATATTGATAAACTGTTTGGACAACAAAGAAAGTGTGTAGAAACTTTTTTAGAGATTTTAAATCTGTTGTACTAAATCATATCTTAGCCAACAAAATGCGCATAAAGATTTTCACAATTATCCCAATAGACACAACAGTAATCTTTTTTAACAACATTGAGAGCTGCAAAAATGGTTTAAGTTCCTTAGGTATTAAGGTTTATAACATAGTGCCTGCTAGTATAAAAGCTTTTAACTTTTATCAATTCAAAGCAAAAATTAAGAGATACCTTGTAGTGAATGCCTTTTTTTCATTTGAGAAGTATTTTTCTTCAAATTTTAATCTGTTCTGATTATCTGTCTGTTATCTTTGTTAATACACTTAGTTTTATGTTATATATTTAAATTTATGTTTATATTTAACTTTTTGTCAAATTTGGTTGTTTCTTTGATATCTAACTTTTATTAATTTGTAAAATATCTAATGTTTTTATTTTGTTACAGATGGAGCACCATACCGTCCTCCCACACAACCAGTTATCAGTATTTTACCCAATGCGGCATCACAATCCAGGCCACGACTACCCAGAAGACACGGCAGTCCTAGATCTATGTGTCAGAAAACGACCGCTGTCTCCAAACTACCCTTATGACTACAAACGCTCCCGCAGCTACAGTGAAATCAGCTGCTTCAGTCCCAAGTCAGACGTGTCAGACGTATCCAGTACCGAACATAGAGACTCTCAAGTATCTTCAACGAAAATTAAATGTAGTAGACCTTTTAAAGCTTACCCAAAAGATCCGATGTCTATGCCCATATTATCCACCTCCCCAAATATGTTAGGTAAAGATTCCTCAGAGGCGTACGCCGAATTTAGAGAAAAAATCTTATCCAGAGCCCAAGCGAATCATAACGGTACAAATAAAAATATGAGACGCACTCAGACCGCGAATATCCAAAATTCAGATCCTGCCTATTGGGAAAAACGGAAAAAGAACAACGAAGCTGCCAAACGATCTAGAGATGCCAGAAGAGCGAAAGAAGACGAAATCGCCATCAGGTGTGCTTTTCTCGAGCAAGAAAATATCCAGTTAAAATTTAGGTTGGCAGCATTAGAAAATGAAAGGGAACGATTGCAGAGCATTTTGTACCACTGAAAGTTCTTCCACAAACCGAAACCTCTTCTGGGTAGTTGCTTTTTATAACTACCCAGTGTACAAACCAAATAGGAGAGAATAAGATTGTGTTTTTGATGTGATTTTTTTGATAGATTGTTGTTTATTTTTGTATTATAGAAGACTGATAAGATTATTTATTTTGAATTGTACATAGTAAGCTTAGGTAACTACAAAACTATTAAAAAATTAAAAAAAATTTTTGGGTTTTATTATAAATAACTAGAAAGAATGGGCTGGAAAGTTTGCTGAAAAATAAGGGAATAATTACAAAAACATTGAATAGGAACTTATAGTCTCATATTAAATTATGAGACATCATCATCATTCTGGCTTTACAACCCTGTGTGGTTCTTAACCTCCTTAAGAATTTCTCTCCAGTCGTCCCTATCCATCGCATTTCTCCGCCCATTCCGGATTCCCATATTTCTCATGTCTTCATCGATGTTATCAAGGTTGTTCTGGGTCTTCCTCTTCTTCTCTGACCAATGGATCTATTAAGCAGCGTTTTTCTAGCTGGGTCATTTTGTTTCATCCGCATTACATACTTTATCCACCTCAGACGTCCTATCTTAATGTGTTTTACGATATCAGCTTCCTGGTATATTCTATAAAGTTCGAAGTTTATACTTTCTCCACACTCCATTGTCATTCACTGCTCCCTAGATTCGCCTTAGTATTTTTCTTTCAAAACATCCTAATATGCTTTCATTATTTTTTGTTAGACTCCAGGTTTCGAACCCTATGTTAGGACTAGGCCTATTATGGTTTTGTAGAGTTTTATTTTTGTATTTCTCGATATAAATGTGGATTTATAAATAAATAAATAATAGCTTTATTACCCAACAGTTTCCCACTTCTAGGGTAAAAATTTAATATACATTTTTAATTAGTATAAAATCATCAGTAGGTGATACAAAAATATCAAGTAAAAAAATAAGTGTAGAAACTAAGTAGGTGAAAAACAAAATAAAGAGTGAGAATAATATAATTAAACAAATCACTATGTAAATAAAAAAAAATACACACAAAAAAATTAACAATCTAAGTTACTCCATAAACCAGTGCGCTATCAATCAGATGATTAATTGAGCATGAAAAAATATCACAACGGTTGCATATTTTATTATAATTATCGCACATAATATAAATGGGTGACTTTAGTAACATATTTGTTCTCGCACGTGGACAAGTAAACACGATAGTCGATCTGGAAGTAATTCTTGGCACATTAAATCTAATTTGACCTAATATATCACTGCAGTCAATACAGTTGTGTAACAACTTATATAAAAATGAAACCGAAAATATAATTCTTCTACACTCTAAACTTACAATATTAAACCTGTTACATAACAAATTATAATCATAACCATGTACGGGATATACTCCATCAACCTTAAATGCTAAATATTTTAAAAGTTTCCGTTGTACCTTTTCAATCTGTTGCATATAACATTTATAAATGGGATACCAAATTAAACTACAATATTCTAGTTTTGTTCGCACTAGCGATATATACAGCAGTTTAATCGGTCTTATATCGCTAAAATTTCTACAGTTTCTGATGATAAAACCGTACATTTTCATAGCATCGGATACTTTCTGCTCAATATGGTTGTTAAAGGTTAATTTTGAATCAAATATAACTCCTAAATCTTTAATGCTATTACATTTTCAATATCTGACCCCTGAATTACATAATTAAAATCAACATTTTTTTCCTTTCTAGAACAACTTACTACTTTACACTTATTGACATTAAGAAAAAGTTTGTTTTTTATACACTACGTTTGTACAGTCCGTCCCAAACCCTTCTTTCAGTGCGTCACTAATTTACATTTTACTCAACCAATTATACATCCGTAAGTAGAATTCGCTTTAATATGCAAATAACCGTGAACGATACATAATTTTCTAAGTTCTATGTATAATAATCACAGACTCACGTTTTTTCTGTCACTTCTAGCTTAATGCGTTAGAGAGAATTCGATCAACCATGACGCACTGAAAGAAGGGTTTGGGACGGACTGTATATAATTTAGATCGTTCTGTAAATCTATACAGTTAGCAACTGTTTTAATTTCACAGTATATTAAGATCATCCGCAAAACATAATTTTCTGTTATTGATACCTAAAAATAAATCATTGATATATAATAGGAACAACAATGGACCTAAATTTGATCCCTGTGGAACACCGGATGTAGTGAAGATTAATTCTGATATGACACCATTGTAGGATACAAATTGGTTCCTACCTATTAAATAGCATTCAAGTAACTTTATCCCAAGTAGCAAATCCCAAATTTGATAATTTAAAGAGAAGGTATTTGTGATCAACCTTATCAAACGCTTTAGAAAAATCAGTATATATCACATCTACTTGACCTTGTACATCCAAAACATCTGAAGTATATTGAGTTATTACAGCTAAGTTTGATACAGTAGAGCGTTATCTATCTATCCCCTAACAGAAGGGTAAATACGATTATATAAAGTTACTTCGAAAACCTTTGAAAAATTGGATAACAAAGATACTGGTCTGTAATTGGATACATCAGATTTCGTTCCGTTTTTGAATACAGGGCATATTTTTGCATTTTTCCACAATTTGGGATAAGTTCCGGTTTTTAATGATTAGTTAAAAATTTTTAGAATTGGCTTTACCCGACAACAATCTTTCACTAAAAATGCTGGAATATTATCCGGTCCGGACGTCATTTTATTTTTAATTCTTTTAAACGCTACTAAAATTTCGTTTTCTTGAAATTCGTTAAAATTAATATTGGGTAAGTAGATATCTCTACATTCTTGATTATCAAATACTTTGTTGTCGACAGGTAAATAAATTTATGAAGAAGATTGAGCCCAAAATAGCATTTTGCAGGGGGAAACTGGGGGAACTGATCGTACTTTACATTCAACTTTTTCATTTTTTGTTAAATTCATCAACCGATTTGGTATTCCTAGCTCTTTCATTGCTTTGAATATTTACATTCACAGAGTCGTAGGCTGCTTTGTAGTCTATAAATATGTGGTGAATGTCAATACCATATTCCAGTGTTTTTCCAAAATCTGTTTAAGATTTGCAATCTGATGAATTGTCGATTTATCTCCTCTGAAACCAGCCTGGTATTTTCCTACTAACTGTTCTGGATATGGCGCCATACGGTGACATAGTTCTGTGGAAAATATTTTATATGCTGCATTTAGAAGCGTAATTCCTCTGTGGTTAGAGCATTCAAAGATACCTCATTTTTTGTATATTCTTTCTTTTATAAGCTGCTGTATTACCATTATGGTGTCATGGACACCTTCTTAATATAGTTCAGCTGGGAGATTATCTATTCCAGGTGAGTTTCTGGCTAATTTTTAACTGCATCTTTAACTTTAAGAATCGTTGGTATTTTCTCTTCCCTTACGTCTGTTCCTCTTACCTCATCTCTTTCGTCTTCCAGATTTTCTTCTTCCTCTATATTAAGTACCTGGTTAAAATATTTCACCCATATATTCAATACATCTTTCCTTGTTGTTAACAGGTCGCCATTCTGACTTCTGCATTGTCTTGTTGCCTTGAATTATTTTCTGTTTATGGTAACTTTCTTATTATCTCTGTTGAGATTTTCTATACAGTAAAGTTCCTTATTTAAGTGGTTTCGTTTTTTTTCTTTTGTGTATCTTCTTTTCTTCTCTTTTTGTCTGGAAATTCTCTGCAGTTCTTCTAGTTTGTCGGGTAAGCATCTTTCTGTAGGCTTCATTTTTTCTTTTGTTGTGCCAATTATGGGACAATACAATTATAAAAATTTTGTTTCATTGGCAATTTTTAATTTTATATTTTCTTCACCTCCTTCAAATATTTTTGGTTCGTCATTTTTGTAATCGTTTTAATTAATGTACTTGATTCCGGGAAAAACATTGCAAAAAGACTGCCCACTTTGGTTTGTTTAATGTTTTTGAGTGATATTTGTTCATATTCATTATTTTATTTGTTTGCAGATTTGCATTCCATATACGCTTATTTGACTTTTCCTGTACATTTTTTCAGAAGATTGTCCTAATAATTTTTATTCTTGTAATTTTCTTTATTAATTTATTCTTATTAATTTGGTCCTGAAAAAATCACAAGAATCAACACAATGGCATAATATTTAATCTTTCAAAGCTTATGATGTTTGTGATCACATTGATCCATCATCTTATTCTATTCACAGCAGCTCGAAATAGATAAGTTAAGGTTAGACCAGTTCATTTGTGTTCCAAAAGTATGGAGCGGTATATCCTTACCGCTCCATACTTTTTTTACAATCTTATAATACTTGGCAATTCAAAGAAAACCATATTTTCCTGTTTCAGAAATCTTTTTTAGTTAATAACACCCATATCTCCTGGAAAATATTGATTAATGCCAATTTTAAACTTTCAAGCTGATAAAAACATTTACTTAAATCTAATGACTAGACCAAGTAAAAGATAGGAGTGAAGAAAAAGGTAGAAGACTTATATCCTCAAGGCATTAAATAATTAATATTTTAATAAAAAGATGTAAGAAAGAGAAAAGTAAACAATTTTTAACAAAACTAGAGTTTCCTGCCTCGAAATTGTATGTTTTCTTAAAAAAAGGGTACACGTAAACTCATCACCAAATACCATAATATATGCTCGTACATAGTACAAACTCATCACCGCCATAAAAGTAAGGATTGTCAAGTAGACCTCGAATAAACTCATCACTGGTCTACCTGCACCCCGTGGCAGGTATAGACCATAAACTCCTTGCAAACCGCTAAGATTTGGTAATTTGACAGAATGAATCTAAAATCGATGTATTAAATGCAAATGTAGTTTATTGGTTTTTATTTGGAAATTCCTCAAAATTCTATTAATAGACGTATACAGGGTGATTGATTAGTGTGAGGAAGCTGAGTAGATCTCTTATAGTAAAAATTACAAAAAAAGTCATTAACAAAAATTGTAGGTAGCTTTAAACTCCACATTTTAAAATTAGTTACAATCTAACAGGGTGTTCCATAAGATGATGGCAAACCAAACTTGTTTTTTGAATGAAACTGTCAGTTTCTGACAAATCAATCATGGTCAATTCACAATAATTATTGGTAAAC